AGGGATGCAGGCGAAGCCGACGGAGAAATTTGAGAATCAAGAAAGTTTGATACAATTGACAAAACTTCCTGTTCTAGTGGGCTGGCCGCTTCGAAGTGGCCTTTGGGTTGCGATGGTGTCGGTATCGTCGTTGTATACTCGTTCTTGAGTTGTTTCCGGTCCACTTTGCCTGAGGGCAACCTTGGGAAGCATGTCTTGATGACGATGTCACCGGGGACCATGAAAGACGGGAGCCATGTACGGCAAGTGTTGAGAATGTCTTCCACATAGTCACCCGGGGTAAATCCTTCATCAATGGCGCAAAAAGCAACTAGAATCCCACCGAGGACCATGGCAACAGCACTGTGGCAACCGGTGGTCCGCATTGCCGCTTGCTCCACTTCGCCGAGCTCAATTCTCTGGCCGCGCAGCTTGACTTGCCCGTCTGATATCCTCCCAAGGCAATCCATAGTTCCATCTGAATTTACAATGGCTTTGTCTCCGGTGCGGTAAACGCGGCCGTAAGGAGTGTCGATAAATGCCGCATCCGTCTGTTCTTGCCTGTTGAGATAACCGTTGGCGAGTTGATATCCTCCTACGACAAGCTCCCCGAGTTCCCCCTTCGGAAGTATGCTGAAGTTGAAAGGGGCGCCGTCTTCGGGGATAGCGACGACAAAGCACGAGACTGAATCCAGAGGAAATCCGATATTCGAAGAAGAACAAGCCGTAGGGTATCTTGGTCTAAGTGTGCTACGAAGCGTTAGTTTTCACGGCGCCAATACAGACATGCAATGACTTACCAGTGAATTGCAGCCTCGGTTGGGCCATACATGCCCCATAGCATGCTGTCCGAAACGTCGCCGCCGCCAAACTCGCGAATAACGGACTCTGTCAACATCTCACCAATCGTCAGAAGGAGCTTTAGACAAGGAGCGTTCTGACGCGAGCGAAGGAGACTGCCAGCGACTGTAGGCGTCAACTCGCATGCATCGACCTGCAAAGTCCTGATGACATCAGGAAGATCGTTAAGCATGCGACCACGATCGCACGTAACTAGTGTTGATCCACGAAGAAGAGGGAAGAAGATTTCGAATACTGATACATCGAACGTCGGCGAGGCAAATTGAAGGAAGCGCCTGAATCTGGGAATATGCCGATCATGGGCGAGAAGACTCTGTGTTGCAGCGTCGTGCGAGACTCCGACGCCTTTTGGCGTGCCGGTTGACCCAGAAGTGTACATGACATAGGAAAGATGTTGAGGCTCAACATGCCTGATTGGGAGACTCGGCGATGAATTCGGATCATCAGTGACCTCTTCGTCGACGACTAAGACAACCCTCTCTGGATCGTCTCGGGGGATCTTTGATGCCAAGTCCCGTGTGACAAGAACAACTTTCGCCGATACGTCTTGAAGAATGAATCTGACTCTCTCGGGAGGTGCATCTAGATGCAAAGGGCAAAAAGCACCGCCGACTTTGAGGATAGCCAGCATCGCGATATAGAGATGTGAGCATTGGGGGATGAGTATCGGTATAACAAAATCATCCGACACGGAGGATATCGCAGCCAAACGAGAGATCCGAGCTGCTAGGGCATCCGCGGCATTATGGAACTGAGCGTAGGAGAGAGTCGACTCTTCTCCATGGCTATTGAGTGAGTGAATCGCTGGCAGCGATTCATCTGATGTAAGCTGCACAAGCTGGTGAAGGAGGCGAGGTCCCGGGGCCCGAGTTGGATGAGGATTTAGGATAGAGAGCTGAGGCTCCAGCTCAGCGTCGGTCATGTTGGCCTCGTCGTCTTTCAACAAGAAAAGATGCTATTCCCAAAGTGATGAGAAATTCTCAGTAGCTCTTCTACAAAGCTATGGGAAGTGGTTCGATGCACAAAGCCCTTGGTAAACCATAGCATTACAAAGGGTATCCAGGTATTAGTCGGGGCCCTCTTTTCAACGGGAAGGGCACGACGGTCAATGCGCCCGAGTCCAGATCAAGATGGACCTGCAGCTAGAGGTCCAAGAGACCACGCGCTGGGACAGGTCTTCGTCCAATAAGACAAGTGATGATTCACAGATCCGGTCATGTAACGGCGTGGTTCCTCAGTTGGGTGCTGGGCAACATGCCATGGGGGTAATGCGAGGGGTTGACACGGGGTCGGCTGCAGGTCTCTTGGCCTGTAAGATTGCAGCAATTACTCAGCCTGTGGGAAACGTCGAGCGATTCTGCAGCACAATCCAGAAAGGTCGCCAGAGCTTCGTGTGTCGATGATGAAATATGGAATCGTTCATTCGTGGATGATGACGGCGTGTTGGCGCGAGCTGCCTAGCTCAAGACGGCTCGGCCCTGTGCGTAGGGCTATCTGTGACCTGTGCGTATGTCGGGCGTGTGACAACTCCCGGTGCGACGGTAGACTGACAAGGAGATACCGGAGATGAGGAGCGCTGCAGAATAAAGAGATGGATTGTTGGTAATCTATGTACCACTGCTTGTCTCTGTGTATGGGCGTATATGCGTGTGTGTGCGTACCTATGTGCGTGTGTGTCCGCTGGCTGAAGAGCTTTATCAGAAGCGCAGACTAGACAAGCTACCGCGCTTGCAGCACACAAAGGAAACGACCAAGAGACTCCCCCGCCCACCCCCAGCGGATCCTGATGTGGCTGACGGGGGGCAGCGTCAGGTGTGTTGGTCGCTTTGGGCGGCTTACACACAAGTTCCTGGTCACCATCCGTAAGCTTGAATGGTTATGACTTGTGAGATATTCATCCCACGCTCCTCTCCAGGTTTGTGGCAGGATGGACAGGTTTGAGGCCAGGCATCGGCCCTCCAAATAACTGAAAGGGAGGACCCAGATGACGGGGGGCATTTCCGGCGCTTATGGCGTCATGGCTTAATGGAGCTCGCCGCGCTGCCCGAGGGCGAAAAGCCGCTCTTTGCTACGATTTAAGCTTCGACGGCCCGTTCAGTGCTCTCTGGCTGCCTCAACTTGGACGGCGTTTACTCGGATGTGTAACGTAAGACCGGAAGTCTGCAGACACGACTACCGCTGCAGTGGCGAGCCTGCACGGCATGCCGATGGCCGGCAGCCTTATCCGATCTTGTGGTCAGGCAAAGCTCTTGACAGCTGCTGTGCACTACGGAACCCGTTGTTCGACATGCATCCCCGTCCGCATTTGAATCAAGCGGGAGTCATGTTGCCGCTTCCGAGGAACTGGTTCTGGCGGGAAAAACGGGTTTCGAGCTTGGCCGGCCGGCGGCCGTCTCCGGTCAGAAACGTCGAAGCCTCATGGCTTGTAGCTGCTCATGTATCACGCTTCACTTCCAACAATCCACGACGGAACTTCCAACGTCGGATGAAGGCACGGCAGGCTCGGATTAAACATGTGCTGGGGTTCTGCAGAGATGCACAAGCATGGCGCGAGATCTGACGGCGCATCCAGAACAGGCCATTTTCCCCCAGACGCCACGCCATGATCCGCGTCGATGCTCGGCCATGTTCGCGGCTGCTGGCCGATCTCGTCTGACTGCCGGACAACGGTTTCTACAAGCGGCAAACTCTCCGGGCACTTGCCTCTGGAATTCGTCAAGAGGGCGGTACGGAGGACGATGGCGCGGGGCTCTTTTGGGGAACCACTCAACCACCATATCACTGGTGACTGGCCGAGACGACAAGATGGTGGTGGGAAGAAGGCATCTGGCTGGTCAGATTTTGTCCACACATAGTGGTTTTATCTGGATCGCTTCGTCTGGTGTGGTATCCACAGGTAGGCATGAGCCGGCGGGATGGTATGTACTGTGATCAGGAAGCATATGTTATTAATTAGGTTCGTTCCATATGCGCGCTCAGGCAAGTCGGAGCAACAAGCTGCAATAGTGGCCTAGTATGTTTGTGTCTCGATCTTTGGATGCGACAGATGGATTTGGAGAAAGACCCTGGCCAAACATAGGCGCCAGAAAGAGAGGCCAATGGAGAAAGAGTTGCCATCTGGCCGTGGGGTCACTGCCAGTCTGTCACAGGTTTGCGGTCGTGTCACGTCCCTGGCCCGTCTGCGCGGAGGGGCGATGTATCGCTGCAAGAGCCAAAGACGCGAAGTGTGGCCCAGATGTGGGGGTAGACTGAGTCGAAGGCAGTACGTAATTCGGCATCGGAAAAGAACGGCCAGTGCCTTTGAAGACCGGATTAGAGGGAAAGGAGATATCCTACTCAGGGCCTGCAAGAAGGTCTCAAGAGGCCAGCGCTGAAGTGAGTACGCGTCCATCGATGGTGAGGACAGGGTGAGGCAGTCTCGAGAATGCGGTCAAAAACTGGCGGTGGTCAGCATACTGATCTTGGGAATGTCCTGGGAGGCAACGGTTGGGGTTCAGGTTCGAAAGAGTCAGAAGGAGCCGGTCAGACGTCACAGGAGGCTGTCTGGATTCTGCAGCTTGGTGGGCATCCAGCGTTCAGGTCCCAGCGGCGATGCCCCAATACCCGTCGTATCCCTCCTTCGGAAACATGGCGACTCGGCGGGCTAGGGGATGGGACGGACACTTGGATGATGTCGGTGGAGGTCCCCAGCGCGTCGTGGTGGATGGATTGGACGGGCCCAGGGAAGAGAAAGTGTGGGTGGATAGGTGGATGAATGCCGCAGGACACGGCGAAAGGAAGTCCAGGTTGACTTCCTACTCAGGTATGGACTGGATGGTATTCTCGGGTGCGAGAGAGGCGGCGGGATTGAGCCATACCCGGTGGTTCTTGGTCGGCAGTCAGCGGTGTTTGTGGTATTGAAGAACTGAGGTTGGAACCTTGGTATTCCGCATACCTCAAGATGGCGAGAGTCTGTCTGAGTGAGGAGTAGCTGCTCTGGTGCAGAGTGAAAGCGAGGCATAATGACTAAGTGTAAAGTCGGTTATGCAGTGTGCGTGCGAGATGCCCCGTCAGGCTGGGGAATACCTAAGATACCTATCCGTACGAATACTCCGTACTCCTGGCGTATTCCGTACCGTACCTACCTACACAAGAATAAGAACAAGAACAAGAAGGCACAATCATGCAGAACTGCTGAATAGACTAAGGTGCCTGGTGAATGCTGCGGGCGAGTGTCGGCAGGCGGGCGGGTGGGAATCCATGTGAAGAGATTTTCCCACCTTCCCTGTCTTGACACTTCTTGCCCGGTTCAGACGATTTCGGAGGGACATCCCAGAGTGACTTCCTGCTTTCCCAGTTCCCACCCAAGGTACTCCGTAGCACGGTAGGTATCTTCTCTGGTTTGGCGAGTGCTCCTGCTGGCTACTGCTGCTCCTGCTCGGGGTTGCTTGTTGTCGGGTCCCCGTTTGCCCCGACGGCACTTTCCCATTCGCAGCCAACTGCGGTCGGGTAAGGTACGACTCGCAAGTCTGCACCTGCGGGCCTGCTCAGATTCGTGGTGACCTCGGAGAAGTGAGGTAACGTACCCAAGTTAAGGTACATGTGCATCCAGCGTGCCATGGAACGCCCACCTCGTGCTCATGCCCATGCCGCTTGTCGAATTTTTCTTCAGGTGCCGTTCCCCTGCCTGCCTGTCACTGTCTGCCTGCCTGCCCGCTGCCCCCTCCCTGCGTCCGTCGTTTCTTGTCATTGTCACTACCCTACTTTGGAGAGGTAGTTTACTGTGTACGGATACATACCAGGTAGTCGACGGATACCCGTGCTTAATTTACCACTCACAGATGCAGGAAAAGGCTGTGGATGATCGCCAGTGGGTGCGTGGTGGGTTTGACGCTAAATACGCCATGGATTTTGCGGATTCCTCATCCATGGGGTGGCTCTCAAGTCCCGTCCTGGCAGGGAAAAAGCCTCGTCAGGACCAGGGCTTAGGTTCATCGAGGGTCGGACGGGGGCCATCGTGGCATCGTCACTGGGCCCAATACAGCAGGTACGTACGCCTTACCTAATTAGACCCGGATCTTATCAGATTTAGATAATCAGATCATCAGATAACTCGGGCAAAATGATGCCAACCGCGCCAAAAATTCCCGCAAAGCCAGCAAAACCGCACAACCACCTACCTTACCTTACACTCAGCACACCCACCTAATGTGCCAATCTTGAATGAGGTGGTCCCGTCCCAGGCTAAAAACCCCACTGCCGCAAACTCCGACGAGGCGACATATCCTCGGTTGACTGCTCTCAGCCATTCGTCTCTTTCTTCCCCTTCCTCTCGATTTTTTTTTTTTTTCTTTTTTCCCCCCCCGTTTCCAATTCTCTGTGCGGCTCATTGGCATATCGTGCCACAAATCTAATACACTTCCCAGCCGCTGCAAAGCCATGAATCACCTCAACGCTCGCCAATGGATCCGGGGGGCTCTTGCGAGAAACCTCCAGTGTTTCCCCATATTCCCATCGCCCACGTTGTCGCCCGCAAATCTGGCTGTCCAGAGCTGCCCAATCTCCGCCTCGACTCCGGTCTCCGGCCCGCGTTCTTCGTGATACGCCGGAACAGGATGTTGCCTTCCCGCTTCGCTTACCCGTACTTGACGTTGTGCACTACATCCTGAAAGAGGCAAATTGATAGTCCTCTAGCAAACTAGCTAGGTATCACCATGCTGTGGGTGGCTGTCTCCCCCAAGAACAGAGTCTTCACGTTAATGATAGTGGCTGTAAGTCACTGCATGCTGTGTGGCATGGATAGCTCCAGGAGAGAGAGGTACGTACTGCAACGGATTCTTTCCACATCTTGTCAGATTAGATCCATCACCAAGTGCGTCTTGGAAGGGAGGCAAAGTACCTCATTCTGCATAATGCCAGGGCTCACACTACTGCGAGTGTGAGTATTCATTCATTCATTCACTCTCTCCTCTGCGCTAAGGCAAGGTCCTCTCCCAATACTACGCAATGGGCTTATGGATGCATTCTAATAGCCTCGTACTCTGTACAAGTGCGCATCTCCAGTCCTCGGGGTTGATGCCGACACACCCTCCGGGGCCCAGCAATGGCACACCTTGGAACCTCAATCCCGAGGTCTTCTCGTGAACCCCCCGGTCTCACTGCCCGCTCTCGGAGCAAAGCTTTGCACCATCTCAATCGCCCGACTCATGTTTTCTTGGTGATCCTGCCGCCTCCACAGCGCGCATTGGATCGCATGTGCCCCGGTTTTTCCACATTCCACAACCCGTCAAGTCTCTAGGTGACCATCTGCGACACAACCTGCATCTTGGCTCCCTTCTTTTCGAGCTTCGAGACTTGTTCGACAGACACGCCGCAGCCCTGTGGTACAGATCAATTGAATGAACAAGAAGCCGGTTTGCAAAAGAATACCTTGAGTAGGGAAGAACTTTTGACAATGGTACGCCGTTCTTGCCTAGGATGGTCCTCCAACCTGTAACAGTTTCGCGCATAAGGTGACTTCCGGGGCACCTAAAGTTGATTGTCCTTTCTTTCATGTTCCATTCCCAAAAAAAGAGAAGCCTTCACCGATACATGAGTTTCCATGATTCTACCTTACCTCAGTGCAAGGAGGGATAGAACAGACCAGGCAGGTAAGGTAAGGTAAGGTATACGTACTCAGTAGACACTTCCAAATAAAACAACTAAAAGTTCCAGGTTTTGCGTGTACGAATACGTAGGCATACGTACCTGAGGCATGCAGCTAGAAAAGACACAGGTACCGTGGAGGTACGTATGGAAGGTTCGCGACGTCAGGAAGGCGGCATAGGCCCGTTCTTAGCCTCCCTCCCTCCTACCTGGGACGGCCTTGAACCGAAGGAAGGAAGGAGGGACCTGAGAGATTTGATCTTATCAGATCCGAAGATAACCCCGAAATCGCATCATGACCCCTCCCCCGACTCCACTTGGTCGTGCAAACTGTTCATCATCGATTTTTTTCTCTCCTCTTGACCTGTCATCGTCTCACCCCTCCCTCCCTGTTCACTAACGCATTTTTTTTTTTGTATGTACTTCGTCCCCTTCGCTTCCCACATCTTCGTCTCTCCTGCATCTAGGTCCCCCGTCCGATTTCTGCATCGCGACCAATTTGGAGTGGGTCTTACTGGCACCATCGATCTGCAACATCTAGGAAAGCGTCGCCGACAAGTTTCTCGTAAACCGACGGCTTTGGCCTGGCCTACTGCACGGAGCATGGCTACTTTGCCCGTGAAGTTTCTTCAAGCCACGCCTCGATGTCATCGCCCTTGTCCGGCGGCTTCTAGTCTCAACGGCCAGTGCCCGAGCAACCCAAGTACTTCACCGACGTGAAGCATTCCAGTACACGAAAGAGACTCGAGACAATATCATAACAAGAGAGATAACAAATACTATATGACGAACAGACAAGCTCTCGGCGAGGCGAGGACTCGAAAAAGTCCCAGATACCAGGAATTACGGTTGAAATCGGACAGAAGAAAAGCATCGATCGATACCTTGATTGCCTCAGACAAGCATCAGCTGAGCCTTTCCAGGGTCCAGTCAACGTCGTTGTCATCCCCGCGTTGGGAAAACTGTTCGTTCGTCGGGTCGCCTATGGTCCATCGTCGTCGCTAGGCGCTCGCTTTAACGCTCAACCCGTCGTCAGGCCTTCAATCGCTTCGGTATTTTCATTCTAGCTTCTGTGCCTCCGGTCCATCCCTCCCGTCCGCTCCACTCCTGTGGCCCGGCACATGCAAACGAGCCAGCGACGCCAAGGCGTGCGACCGCCGCTCGCCGCCGCTGATGCTGGACACCATCTCAGACGGATTGGTTCAATGGTTATGGGGTCCTGTTCTTCATTGCTTTTTCCGTCCTCGTGCAATCGACAATGCAGTGCTGCTCTCGACCTTACCTTAATCTTCTCCGTCAACCGAAGCGCATTTCCCACTCTTGTCTGTGTGTACATACATACAACCCTTCATTGCACCCATCCATCATCCACTCGCCCACTCAAGAAGTTCCTCCATTCACCAAAGGACCACTTACACCACCTACAAGTATGTACGGACACAAAGTACCATGGACATGAACTTGGCATGGGTTCCAGTCTGCGAGACCCAGACCAAGACCCAGGACCCAGACCCTCCCAGGGCATCCCTTACTAGCGAGCCCATCTCTGGAGTCAGCCCGTTGCGACTCTGTCCCTGGCCCTAACCCCTGGATGTGGAAAGGCGTCCGTTGTGGATGGCTTCTTGCTTTGAGCCGAGCTGGCGCTTCACTCTTTGCGCCCACGAGGTACGCCAATACCTATGGCAACCACCTATACTACTCCGTACCGTCACTACCCACGGCATTCTGCGCAGCTCTTCTCCCAAGAGAGATGGGCCAGCCAGGGTCCTGTCCTGTCCTCTATAGGCTTTCTCCGGCAGAATGACAGGATCGCGGCATCGACGTTGCCCCATTCGCGCGAAGAACCGAATGTTGCAATTTGAGTAGGCTCCTCCAAATACGTCTAGTCCCTAGCCTCTGGGGCGTGTAACCAAACGATAATGTACAGAGTACGGATACCCCCTACCCAGTCCCAATCTCCATCTGCTCGTTCGTGAGCTCCGAGGCGAGGGTCCAGCGGTCCAGCTTCGAACTTGTCGGTCGATCACGCCGCCTCAATGGGACGCGGGCATCCATCGACGTCTGCCCGTTTTGCATATTAGCCCCTCGGTGCCCCTCCTCTCCTTCCCATGCGTCTCTTGATTCTTCTTCACCAGCTCCCATTTCTCTCCTCAAGCCTTCTCTCAACCGCCCATTCAACCGGTGGCCCAGCTTCATTATACCCAAAGGCTTCAACCAGATACGCCACTCTTTGAGAGTCGATGACGAACAGTGTGGCTTGAGACTACTTTGGATCAATCACAAGGAAAACGCCAGGATTAGACGAAAAAAAAAAGTTCTAACCACTCCCAAAAATACCCCGCGTAGTTTCGCACCCGCATCCCACTTTTACACCGGGCTTTTATTCAAACCGTCTCAAAATCGAAAAGTAACGCCCTCAAGGTCAGTTGATGTGCTCCCACTCTTCCGAAAGAGTGAGATTTCAAAGGTCATGAAGCTGATGGTTTTAAAGCCCCTGCTCTTCCCGCTCAGTTGCATTGTCACTGGCACATTGATCGACCCATTCGCTCGTCAAATAATACCCCCAGCCGCTGTTTGCGACTTGTCTATATACCCAGCACACGCATACTTACACCAAACCACGTAATTTGAAACCCCCACCACCACCACCACTACCTATCACCATGTCTCCTCACTGCGACTCGCCGACCAACGGCTCCGATGCCGGCAGCGGCTTTTCTTCCTACAATGGTAACGGCAATGGCTACGCCAACGGCAACGGAGCCGCCTACCAGAACGGCAACGGTGTGAATGGCCACCAGAACGGTGCCTCCCGCATCCAAAAGTCCCAGTACCTCCAGCCCACCGACCACAGCGATATCCACGACCTCATCTGCGTTGGCTTCGGCCCCGCCAGTTTGTCTGTTGCCGTCTCCATGCACGACTTCCAGGAGGCCGGCCGCCAGCTCACTCCCGGCTCAGCTGCCGCCAAGGTGCTCTTCCTCGAGAAGCAGCCGGCCTTCGCATGGCACCCGGGCATGCTTCTTTCCGGCGCCCGCATGCAAATCTCCTTCATCAAGGACATGGCCTCCCTGCGCAACCCTCGTTCTCAGTTCACCTTCCTCAACTACCTCCACAGCAACGACCGCCTAGTTGAATTCACCAACCTGGACACTTTCCTGCCCGCCCGCGCCGAGTACGAGGACTACCTGCGCTGGTGTGCTCGCCACTTTGACGATGTTGTTGAGTACGGCCGTGAGGTTGTCTCCGTCTCCCCCGACCCTCAGACTGCTGGCAGCATCAAGACCTGGACCGTCAAGTCCCGCAACATCAAGACCGGCCAGGTCAGCTCCTACCAGACCCGCAACGTCCTGATCGCCAACGGCGGCCAGCCGCGCATCCCCAAGGTCATGCCCGCCAACCACCCGAAGATCATCCACTCCTCCCAGTACGCCCAGCTCGTGCCGCAGCTTCTCAAGGACAACTCGAGACCCTACAGAGTCGCCGTCATCGGTGCCGGCCAGTCTGCTGCCGAGATCTTCCGCGACGTCCAGCGCGCGTACCCTAACGCCAAGACGTGGATGGTGATGCGCTCCGAGTTCCTCAAGCCCGCTGACGACTCGCCGTTTGTCAACTCCATTTTCAACCCCTCTTACGTCGACGAGCTGTACCCCAAGTCTCAAAGCTACCGCCGCTCTCTCATCAAGGAGGCCAAGGCGACCAATTACGGCGTCGTGAGACTCCAGCTCATCGAGGCCCTGTACGAGATGCTTTACCACCAGAAGCGCACCCTCGGCTACGACGAGCGCAAGTGGCCCCACCGTATGCTCTTCGGCCGTGACATCACTCAGGTCACCGAGAGCAAGGAGACCGACCGCCTGCAGATCCACGTCCGCCGCCTCGAGGACGCCGCCGGCGACAGCCTTGAGGATGGCTTCGTCAACCAGCTGCCCGGTGACGAGGTCCTCGACGTCGATCTGATTGTTGCGGCGACTGGATACCAGCGCAACGCCCACATCGACATGCTCCGCGACAGCTGGAACCTGCTTCCTGAGATCACCCCCGCCGGCAATGCCAGCGAGCGCGAGCTTGTTGATGGATGGGAAATTGCCGGCCCTGACGCGACCTCGGGATCGAGGAAGCTTGAGGTTGGACGCGACTACCGTGTGCGATATGCCCCTGGCGCTGTGGCGCCTGATGCTGGTGTTTTCTTGCAGGGATGCTGCGAAGCGACCCACGGAGTAAGTTGAACCCCGCCAACTCATTTTTCCCTCATCACCCCATTACATCTGGGACATTGTGACTGACGAGCTTCCTCCCAACAGCTGAGTGATACCCTGTTGTCAATTCTCGCCGTGAGATCGGCCGAGGTTGTCGACTCCATCTTCCCCTCTGCTCCGAGGGCCAAGACCGTTTCCAACTAGACGTGATTTTTTAGCGACTTTATTCTTATTAGAGAGAGGGATGGGAAAGACATTTCATGAGTCTCTTTTGGATTGGCCATTGGCATGGGACATGTGTACCTGATGACATCTCTTTGTGTATGTGCCCTTGGGCAGGGTTCTTTCTCAACATCTCTTCGGAACTTGTGAAGAACTAAAAAAGACATGGCGCGGAGTTTTATCTGTTTTTAATTTTTCACACGAATTCCATTATTCCTGCTTCAATAAATCTTCAACTCTTTTTTTCCCCCCTCTCGAGACGTCACTGATCCCCATCCAGAGAAACTGCTCTTACATTTATGTGATATCTGGCTCTTGTTTATATGATGGTTTATATGGAATAGTTATTACTGTACAATTGCGCGTCGTTGTGTTCAACCCAAGCCACAAGTTCTTCATATATCGGGCCATCCTCCGTCGTCATGGGATATAATAATACATGGCTTGGGCCGGGCGGGAAGGTTTGATGCTGAGAATATGATGTGGATGGCGTGTTGATGCTGCTGCTAACGTTCGTTACGTCGTCCGACGTTAGGCCAGGGGTAGAAGGACCTCCACTGACACCACCAGCGCGGGCGGTATAGACAGCTTGGCTGTCCAGTCGCAACCGCTGAACTATAGACTGGAGGTCTTTCAGGACGGTAGCGCAGTCCCGAGCGTAGTTGCTTTCTGTCTTGGCCTCTTCTTCAAAGACGCTGATGGCAAAGTTGACGTTGATGTCGTCGGGCTCCGTGGCTGGCGAGAAGACGAGAAGCTCTTCCAGCATGAGAATAATGGCGGCGTTGAATATGTAGTGCAACCCTGCTTGCAAAAACTTGCGAGTGCCACCGTTGAGACGCATCAGCCAACGAGCGAGGTACAAGTTTGCATGCGCCGCCTTTGAGCAGGAGCTTATGCGGTCTGCGTGGTGTGAGAATTCCCAACGACGGTCTGAGGTGATGTAGCGCTCGGCAAAGGTCTTTTTAACAGCAGCGAAGAAGATGGGGCGGACGACAAGGATGAGAAGCTGCAGATTCGGGAAGACTTTGAGTTAGTACGGGGTTGCGACTGTCCTCTATATTCCCAGACTGGGAGAGGGGTGTCATGAGGTGGTAGGAGGGGGAAACGTATAACCCCATCCTTATTCGGAGACGCAACGCAAGGATGGAAAGGAAGGCGGTGGGGCAAATCAAGCTTACCTGGTTGTATGCCATATGCAGGAGACAGCATGAGGGATCGCTACTTGGATGAGACGTAGACATTTGCAGGGTGGGCGGCAGTGATGACTGCCAGCTCCCGAGCAACTGCAGCGCTCGGTCGATGTGCCGCGCCGCACCTCCGGGACCACGATCCCAGGGGGCGACTCTATACGTGTTGCAGACAATGTGGCCCGAAATGCGGGCCAGCTCGACGTGGGCTCGAAGGCCGGCTGCAGGGGGTAAAGATCCTGGCTTTTCACTACACGGGGGTTGACCATTGCGTTAGACGAGTGCCTTATTGCTTCGACGGGAATCCATCATCGGAGATCTCCGTCAAGTAGGATGCCAGAGGACTGGGACAGGGAAAGGGAACTTACAGATCATCGCAAGGCAGTGGTAGCCGGATAGCATCGTCCATGATAATGGGAGGACGGCCCATAAGACAGCTCAACCAGCGATCGAGAATATAAAGAGTCCAGAAAACGCGTTTCCCACGCTCGTCGACCCAGCCACGGTGGGCGCCGTGCATAATGGATATATGCATGGCATTGCTTACGTAGACGTAGGCTGCATCGCGGCGGTTCATCTCGATAAGGTAGAAGCCCATCAGTGCTAGAACAGCAACGTCGCTGATGGTATACCGGGTGATATCGAGAGGGTTACCTAGGAGAAGGCGGGCGCGGGCGAAGTAAATCTGGCTCAAATCTTTTGGGACCAGCATCGAACTCGCCGTGGTATTGGCTTGACAGGCGACGGCAAAGGCGGTATGGTAGAATGCAAGATGACGATAGTTGTCGGAGACGACCTGTTGAGAGGTCCCGGACGGAAACACCTCGGGCTTCACGTCGCCAGACACGGTGGGCGCTGGCGGTGGTTGGCTGAGATCGCCCCACCAGTAGATGCCGCCGCACGGGAATTCGCTGTTGCCGTCTTGGATGAAGTTTCGGAGGTCGGCAAGCATACCAGCCATTTCGTCCCGAGAAGGCAGTGAAAGAGGGTCCACGTTCGACTCAACCTCAATCGGACGAGAGTCGTATGTCTGATAACTGCCAAGGGAAGAAAGAAATGTCAAACCGCTAGTTGGCGTCGGTGACAGCCATTGCGGGTTGTAAGCAAGTGGCAAGACGGTGGACATGAACTCCTTGAGGTAGTCAAGGAATGTTGCGCCAGAGGTCTCGCCAAGAAAACGGGCTCTTCCATCCTGGTCGTGCAGTGTGCGTCCATCAGCGGTCTCAGCGACAATCTCGTTACTGGCTTCCCCGTAAGAATCATGGGGCTCTGGGGGTGTAAGGGACGGAGCCGAGCCGGCACGAGACCCCTTCACGTCGACATCCTGTTGCAACAGTTGCCGTCTCGCAACGTCGTCGGGTACGGCAATCTGCAGAGCCCGTTCTGCAATCTCAAGCTTCCTCCTCAGATCATCTAGATCGTTCCGAGCCACGGAGACTTTCTCGATCACGGTGGGATACTGGCATTCTCGTGATGAGCTGCGGCATTGGCGGCACGGTCTCTCACCGGAGCATTTGATGCGGCGGACATTGCAGCTATTGCACCTGTGGAAGAAGTTCAGTACGTTGATTGTAGGGTAAAAATGAGACAGCGATGAGAGTAACATGTGCTGGGTAAGAAATGCTGCTTAACGGAGGGAACGTGGTTGGTAGGAAAGAAGGACGAATGTATACAGCGAATCAAAGGCTAAGAACAGTAGAAGATGAAGATATTAGTAATTCCACAAGCGACTTACGCTGTTGCAACACGCTTCCGTTGCTCTGGCGCTACCTTGTGCCGTCGCGGGTTGACAGGCAAACGAGATGCACGGCTGGAGTTTTCGATTTGTTCTGGCTGCTGCTGCTGCATCCTGGTTCTGCGGGAGAGTGAGGCCGCATGTCACCGCTCCGCCGGACCTCAAGTTCGGAGTTGGATATGAGAGGCGAAATGTGCGAAGTGCGGTATTGCAGGCTAGTGAGGTTTTGGTGAGGTGTCGCCGTCGGTCAAGGATGAAAGGTAGGCTTGTCGTCGGTGATGGTGATGGTGACGGTGACGGACACGGCGATGGATCTGGACCGGTTGGTAGCTCAGTGTACCCCGGAAATCGGTAGCCAGGCAGCGGCAGATATGTCCCGTCCGAGTTCGAGACTTCCGGTGGGATTGGAGAGTGGGCGCTAGGGCCTTGGAGGCGAAGGGAATCAAGGGAGTGACGCTTAAGGGGGTGAGACTTGTTGGTCTATGGTGTGCGTGCTAGATGGTTTGATAGTGGGCGGCTGTATCCGAAGTGCGTTTGCGGGTGAAGGTCAAGGCACTAGGTCGACATTCTTTGGTCCTTGGGGATTCTTTTCAGGCGGACGTTGGCGACCAGAAGCAGTTGAACCGGATTGATGTGTGGAACGTTAGATTTACTCGCTGGGAAGATGTCCCGGAAGGATGTTGACATGGACATGGCGTGGAGAATGGAGATTTTTGAACAGCCGTTGTGGTCGCGAGACGAGGAAAAGGGTCCAGTGGTGGTCCGGGAAGGGAGGACGAGCCTGAGGAGGTGGAGGGGAGGGGAGGGTGGTAGCATTTTGGGGACCGGAAGTGGCTCCGCGTTAGTCATTTGCATGTGACGATGCCCACTTCCTTAACAGCATCGTTCCCTGCGCGACCTTCCAAAGACCTTGGAGCTTCCCAAAGCCCCAGGGATGCGCTGAGCGGGTGCGTGCCTACCCGACCAGGTCATGGAAGGTCAAGCAAACACCGACCAAACCAACCTGGCGGGTAATGAATTATTAAGGTAAGGCGCCATAATTAGTTGCCTTCCTTCCTTCCTGGGCGCCGCACACTCACAGACTTCACAGTCCACTCGCCCACTCTCACACAATCACTCACTCACTCACTCACTCGCACACTTACTCACCCTCACTTTCACTCCCATGCCCATGCTCACTCGTTCTCACACTCACACGCAATCCACGGGTCCATCATCGAGCTGAAGCAGAAAAACTGCGAGGAAAGGCACACTCTAGCGACCCCTTCCTCCCCTCCCCTCCCCACCCCTCTCAAGCGCTGCTGTGAGGTGCGCTTGACGAACCTGCAAGTCTCCCTGCTTAAATCACACATCTGGGTAGTCACAAGTGATTGCCATGCTGTACACGCGCGCGTTGACGGAGCATCTCTTCCCCTCCTCTTTTCTCCTCCTGGGCTCCTCCTCCTCCCCGGTCATGTTTCGACCCCCAAGGATTCGGGGACCGTTGATCATTGATTCGAACCCCTGACAACCGGCCTGGGCTGTGTGCCTAACGTACCCGGGGCCTTAGCTTGCCCTGCCCCGAGACGAGAGAAGAGGGCGAGGAGGACACTTCATGTCCAAGCCTTGCTTTGCCTTGCTAAGCCTGCTTAACGGTAGATTCTGTGCTGCAACAATCCCAACCGTTCACTGTCCAGTACGGTACCCCGAGTCCAGCCGCCAGTAAACATGGATCGGAAGCCCCAAAAACGGCTTAGGAGGGCGCCACTAACGTCCCGTCTTACGTCGCCATTGACTCGTTTCACGGCCCACGCGGGAGACGGGAGGCGGGAGGCGGGATGAGCTTGGGGCACATCTTCGCCGATAGCCAAATCAACTCCCGTCCGTTGCTCATCTCGATTCTCATCCCAGGCGTGCCAGGTTATTCACTATACATCCAAGATATTCATTTTAATCAACTCACATCTCATCTACATACCCGTCGTATCCACGTCCCATACCCTGCCTCTCAAAAACATGCACCTGCAGATACTCAGCGGCTACCATACCCCGACAAACTTGCCAGGAATCCTCGCTTAGGCACGGATAGACCACTTAATTGACCTGTCAGAGACGTCCAACCTGCACAATCGTGACCTCGGCCGATTGCTTTCGGATCGGTGGAGAAATATGCCCACCAAGCCCCCGGCACACCGCGATGATTGTCGCTGCAACTTTTTCATACCGGCCAGTCTCACTTATTAGGTCTCACACGGCTCGCAGTGAAAGGGAAGAAATACCTAGATATGCACAAATTGACATGCAGCCTCATGGTTCACTACCTACGAGCTAGGCGCTCACTGCCCTCCTAATTTGGTCCACGCGCCGGGATATTCACTCATTGCGGCGGAACGGCTCGTCTTGGCGCTCCATCCCTGTGTTCCTCTTATGGCCTTCGCCCGGAGAAGTTTGCGTCTTTCATGCCTCAATATTTCACCAAGCACCCGGGGTCTTTCCTACGCCAGCCACTCATCCCACTGCCTTGCCTCTTAGGCTCATGTTTTTGAGCCACATGATTCAAATCGTAGCTGAGAGTCTGGTGATGGCGATTTAAACTTCATTAGACTTGTCCCACTCAACCCATAGGTCAACGACGACTTCCACCCGCCGTGGAGGTCGTTGAGAATGCCTCAACGAATCGGCATAGCAAATCTTACATTCTGTGAAGCGCCCCCGCGGTCAGATGAAGGGCCAAAGGAATAGCTTGTTGGTTTGCAATCTCCTCTTGTGGCACATTTCCCGCCGGTTACCCTGCAGCGTCTACAGATACCAACACGACTGACGGGGGCCGAAGCTTTCGTCGCGCGTGGCCCCCAGATGATTGTCTCTGTCCTCAGGCAAGCGCAAGTCAGACGCCACTTCACGTTGCTATTATATCACATTATAGCTGGTGAGTCCTAGCTCATGTCCGGCCAGTGTGGTGAGAGCTCATCTCCTCGTATCGCCGGTCGTGGAATTTTTTCCCGTGATTGCTGATGATCCTGGTTCGGCTTCGTCCGACACCACCATGCTCGTACGGAGTACATTCTTCATAAGATAAGTATGTAATCACGTTGCCCGGGGTCCCAGTTGCGCCTTGATAAACATAAACTTTGGAAAAGTTGGTCATGTGCGGAGGGAGCTCCGGTCCGCGAACCCTTTGGCATAAAGCCGACCTCTCTCCAGAGAAGGGGTGTCACAGACATGAGTATGAAGAACTTCTCTCGCATATTACGTACAGAGAACTCGTTCTAATTTATGAAATTCTGCCAGCACTAATTGTTATGACGGCTGCCTCACTCATTGCGCGTTCCCTATGGTCGCGGATCGGCCGATTCATCGGATTCGAGACAGCCGGCTTGCCCGTTAGAACAACCATGTCCGCTATTTGCGATTGCGCCAGCCTTGCACTGCCAGCAGCACCGCTAAATGCAATCTATGTGTGCTCTGATCTTTGTTCAGTACGCATCTTAGGCTTATTGAGGCAGCGACTGCATTGTTCAAGCCTCAGCCGATACGAACCTCACTGCCACGTTGCTCAGTAATGAGCGTTTGGGGCCCCCTGCCAATGCATCAAGGCCGGCACCCGATGCAAATACCTTCCTAGCCACCGGCTGCTGTCTACTTGGCATGCGGTTCTTAAGGCTGAACGTCACATGCAGCTGGTCGCGCCAGGACTGATGCTCACATGAGCAACGCCAGAAGTGGCGGTCACGGCCCGGTCGGATAAGAGGCCCCTCGCGGCTTCCTTCTATCGTCAGCTGTTCTCTCACGGTTTTGCATTGAGTTCACTACAAGAACACTATCTAGATAATCTGGGATTTGGTGGCCATTGGGTTTCCTATGAGTTCCAAAGCATCCTTTTCTCCGAGGCTGGTGAAATCGGCCATCTCATGTATTGAGCGAAAGGTCTCAAGGTTCATCGGTCACCTCTCAGGGTCCCATTTCGTTGGGTCTCAAAGCATTGCCAATCTTTCCAGACACTATCAATTCAGAAACGAAGGGGTTTGTCAATCGGGGGTGTACCCTTCGGAGCTTACCTGGAAGTGAATGCCAACGAGTCTGCACCCGTCAGCGACTGGAACTCGTGATGATCGCCTTCTGACAATTTCGAGTCCATCTAAAGGATCAGAAGATGCATTCGACTCATTTCCGTACTTTCTGGCGGCAATCGCCGAGACCTCATACGGCCTACCATCACCTGTCTTGTCCGCTGTGCCCTTCTCTCATCGCTAAGCCCAATCTTCACGATCTAAGTGACGAATGTGACTACTTAGAAGGTGTCACAAGAATGAGATGATTCCATAGATAGCCATTCTTGATTCCAAGTATCGAGTCAAAGTCTCTGAACTTGAGTATCGTATGGCCCTCGTAGAGGTCTTAATAAAGTGAGTGAGATGTCGCTTGAGTAGGCTGGGGCTCCATGATCTTGCCCTGAGCATCGTAAATAACACGCAGCCAATTAGTGAACATTGACTACTCTTTGCGTCTCTTCACCTCACACACGCCTATGCCATAGAAATAACACCATTCACTATCGATGCGGAAGACCAAGGGTCAATTCTCGCTCAGCTGGGACCCCGCGTGAAAAAGTATGGAACTGTGCTGCCGGCTGTCACCAGCTGCGATTCTTGTCATGTTTTCCTCCTCGTGATGACCTCATTCTCTTGGTCACGTCCTACCAGTACAAGGTTCACATGAGGTCCGCAACAGCCGCAGAAGGCCACTTGTGAAGCAGATTTTCTCTCAGAAGCCAGACTTCATCTGATGGAACCATCAAAAAAGACCATGGTTCGCCGCGCAGTCGTCTCATCCTTTATCTTCAAGTTCCCGCCCAATCGGGGGCCGCAGGTCGCTCTATTCCGGAGAAGTGACAGCGTGCGAACTTATCCGTGAGCTCATGCCCCAACCTTCACAAATACAGGTTGCGATGACGCTTGTATATCTATGCGACTGACTAGAATTCTGAAGCAATCATCTCGCGCCGGTATCGGGCAGCATAGAGCAGGACGACCCCTCACCCCTGGATGCTGCCTGGAGAGAGATCCGCGAAGAGACAACGCTTACGCCTGCGACCTTAACGTTACTCCGCCAGGGGAAGGATTACGTCTTCGCC